AGGAGCCAGTGATGTAGCCGGGGAAGAGAAGGTGGATGAGAAGAGCAGTCCAGGCAAGAAGGAAAACACCAAGGTTATGGCGATGAAAGAGCGGAGTTTAAAGAGAGAAGAGAGGCTCGGCGCCTGTGGCTCAGGGGCTAGGGCACCAGCCACATATGCTGGGGCTGACAGGTTCAAACCCATCCCAGGCCAACTAACCAACAATGACAACAATGACAAAAATAGTTGGGCATTTTGGCAGGTGCGCAGAGGCATGAGAATCACTTAAACTGAGGCTGAAGCTGGATATGTGGGGCTGAAGTTTTGGGATCCTCTGTGAGGAAGATATAGATTTAACAGGTGGAAGTGATAGCTGAAAAGTGATAGTTAATTAAACCATCCAGGGAGCATATACAGAGTTAGATGAAGAGACATTTGAGATCAGAATATGAATAAAAATCAACATTTAAGAGACAGAGGAAAATGAGCACAAGAGCAAGCGAGTGAACAGAGAAAAGAGCTGACACAGGAGAACCCCGTTGCGGAGGCCCGGGGAGCAGCCTGGGCTTGGCCTCTGTAGGCAGACTGGCCTGCTGCGGGGGCAGACTGGCCTTCAGGGGCCGGCGGACCTGCTGCGGGGACAGACGGACCTGCTGCGGGGACAGACCGGCCTGCTACGGGGGCAGACTGGCCTGCAGGGGCGGACGGACCTGGCCTGCGGGGACAGACGGGCCTGGCCTGCTGAGGCGGACTGGCCTGCTTCGGGGACAGACGGGCCTGCTGCGGGGGCAGACTGGCCTGCAGGGGCGGACGGACCTGACCTGAGGGGGTTGACGGGCCTGCTGCAGGGACAGACAGGCCTGCTGTGGGGGTGGACGGGCCTGCTGCGGGGACAGACGAGCCTGCTGTAAGGACAGACGGGCCTGCTGCAGGGTCGGGGGGCCTGCTGCGGGGACAGAGGGGCCCGCTGTGGGGACAGACGGGCCTGGCCTGCGGGGATGGATGGGCCTGCTGTGGGGATGGATGGGCCTGCTATGGGGACAGATGGGCCTGGCCTGCCGGGGTGGACGGGCCTGCTGCGGGGGCAGGGAAGGGCTGAGAAAAGGAAGGCATTAGAGATAACAAATTGAAAGGCTTTGATCAACAGTGAGGATAAAAAAGGTGAATTTTAGAGGAAGGTAGGAGAAAATGTGTAGTGTAATCTTGAGAGAAATCTGGATGAGAAGAGACGAGAGGCTGGGCGACAGCAGGGTATGGGAAGTCGGGAGGAATTGCTCTGAGAATCCAGGAGAAGAGACTTCAGGGTGTCCTAGACTGCCAGGGGAAGCCAGTGGAGAGGCAGAAAACAGGAGAGAGATGGGAGGACAATGGAACTCTCCGATGAGGACACCCTGTCCTCGGAGACTAGACAGGTGGGGAGGACGCTGTCCCTGGCTCCTGGACAGTTTGGTCCGCCTGAACTAACACTCTGCCTGAATCTCCCAAGTACGGATTCCCTCTTTGTTTGGTCAATAGCAGCTCACTGTCCTGGGACCTGCTGGCTGTTTCCTGCGGGAGCGCGGCACTCCAGCCATGGGGAGTGGCACCTCCAGCCAGCATCATTTTGCTTTCCAGAATGCAGAGAAAGGTATGTGCTTCCCACCTTCAAAATCGCCGTTAGGTACCGTGACCCCATATTGCAGGTGGGGAAGCATCTCCGGGTAGAAGCAGAAACCATTACATTGCTCCTCAAGACAACTCTTAAAAATTAGCTTCTCCCCCTGACCTGACTGCCAGAGTGCTCAGCTGAACTCAATGTCACAGAACTAAACTCTGTCCCGGGAGTTAGTGTTGTCCATTGGAGTTTATCCCAAGCTACACATGTACGAGTGAATGAAATAAAGTTGGGTAAAGGGCATGAAGCACACCCCAGGCAGAGGGTACAACGTGGGCGAGGGTCACCTGGGGGGGTGAGACGCATGGACGGAGGGGAATGCTCTGTGGTGAGCA